TGTGGAGGATGTGAACTGTGACAAGATGATTGACAGGCCAGCTTACAGTGACAGGGTGCGTGTAACAGGTGCGACAGAGCGGTGCTTTAAGACGCAATTGGAAAAAGAAAAAAAGAAAAAAGACCCCCCACTCCACCACAAAAAAAGACGCAATTGTGACGTTGTATGTCCCATATGGGATGATGTTAGACTCAAAATTATTAATAGATGCACGCAAAATTATCCATGTACTGCATACATTTTATACATGTATCTTACTAACCACAAACAAATGCCTTTCAATTTGAGTCTGTGGAATTCGGGATTATACTTAATATTTAACAAAAAACAAGTTCAGTTAAACATCTTTATTATATTTCTACGGTAGAGGAGAATAGCCAAACCAAAAAAGAAAACACAATGTAACATTCATGAAACAATGGCTTAAATGAGCGACTATAATAGCCCTTTTAATAATAATAATAATAATAATAATACTACTACAAGGAAGGAATAACTGACAACGTGCCGTTGATTTACAGAAAGAAAGAAAAAAACAAGGTACCGTCACGAAGTTCTGTACAAATCGCTGCACAATCATTTAATCCCGAATTCCACGGGCTCAAATTGAAAGGCATTTGTTTGTGGTTAGTAAGATACATGTATAAAGTTTATGCAGTACATGGATAATTGTGCGTGCATCTATTAATAATTTTGAGTCTAATATCATCCCATAGTCCCAAAGCTTGCCTACTCTTCTACTACACACTCAAAAGTGTGTACTTTTTCTTCACCAAAAGAGTACATACTTTAAGGGCGTAGTATAAGTAGGCACATTGAGACGCAGCATCAGACTCAGACTGACTGTAAACAAGCGGCACGTGGCGCGTCTCGTGACGTCACACGCACGCCGTGCTGATTCCTGCATCAACAACAACAGCAATCAAGAGTCTGTCGTGTTCGGTTCGCAGACGCATCAGATCTTCTTCTGCAGCTCAGACACACAAACAGCTTCTACAATGTGATGTTATTGAAGTCGTCGGTCCTCAATAACACAGAAATGAATGTTTCTGCGGACTTTTGTTCACACACACACATACACACACGGCGCTGCGCAGGCATAAAAAAGAGGATATTAGTTTGGAGATGAAGAATGTTTAATTTCGGCGTAAATACACACAAAGCGGTTCGGCCGGCGATAAGAATCAGAAGCGACACAAACGGGCTCAAACAGACGCGTCTCGCAGCTGATGCTGAAGCTGAACTCAATAAAGAGCAATAAAGCGTCGCGTTGCTCCTCCACTACAGAAATACATTACAGTTTAACAGAGATTCACATAGAAAACAGCTGTTTTAAATTACAATAATATTTCACTGTTTTTGCTGTATTTCTGATCAAATAAACACCGCTCTGGTGAGCAGAAGAGACTCTAACAGAAACATCAGATCAGATTTCACAGGTGTATGGTGTGTGAATGTTTTAGTTTGTGTGAAACTCACCATCATCAGCCAGATAATGAGATGAAGACCTCATCACATGACCTGACGAGTACTGCTCACTTCCTGTTATCAGACTGATGTGACATCACTGGATCTTCTGATTAAACACTGAAATATGACTCTATAATGTTTCAAATGTTTGATCTGTGAGTAAATGTTGAATATTACTGGAGCTAAAATTAAAAACTGAATCTGCACCTCAGACTCAGATTCTGATTCCAACAGAATAAATGGCTATGAATGCAGATGATGCAGTTATGAATCTGAACCAATCAAACACTGAACCCTGAACAACAGCATCACTGATTCTCAGGGTCAAAGGGCAAAGGTCATGAGTCAAATTAACCTGAGGAATTCATAAACACTTTCAGTTTCCCGTTGTGTGTGTGAGTGTGTGAGTGTGTGTGTGTGTGTGTGTGTGTGTGTGTGTGCGCGTTTTTGTGACAAATGAGGACATAAATGTGTATAATGACAAAGGTATGACATAGGTATTACAAGGAGAAGGTGACTTTTCAGGACATTACCCCATGTCCCCACTTTTCAAAACGCTTATAAATCACACAGAATGGAGTGTATTGGAAATCTGAAATAGCACAAAGTTTCCTGTGAGGGGTAGGTTTTGGGGTAGGGTTGGTGTAGGGCAATAGAATATACGGTCTGTACAGTATAAAAACCATTACGCCTATGGGATGTCCCCACTTTTCACAAAAACAAACCTGTGTGTGTGTGTGTGTGAGTGTGTGTGTTTCTCTGTGTGTGTGTGTGTGTGTGTGTGTGTGTGTGTGTGTGTGTGTGAGTGTGTTTCCTCTCAGTTTCTGTGCAGCATCTTCAGTCACAGTTGAGTGTTTGAGCTTCATTTACAGACAGACGCTCTTTCTTCTGCACAGACTCAGACATTTACAGACAAGGCAGTGATTGTGCTCGTCACCAAACAATGACACATTTCTGTTTCTCTCTGAATTCCTGCATATCTTTTCTGCTCGGGGAGTAATTTGTCTGTCATACAGGCCGAGACTCTCCCTCCATTACTCTGACGGCTCTTATTAGCCGAAAGCTGAGCCAGCGCTCCATGAATTTAGCCACTGTTCCGCAGGCTCCCCTCAGTAATTAATTTGATAAATATATTAATTATGAATCGGGCGATCAGATGGTCGTGCGTCCAGCTCTGATAAGTGGCTCTTTGTTGCGGCCGCTCTGGTTTCATTGGCTCTTATCGCGGCTCTCCGCTAACGGCTCGTTTCCTGCGAGCTGTAATTAAACGCAGAGGATTCTGATTGCGAGAGCCTCGTTTAGAGGCCGTCTCCGGGGTTGCGTCCCGATCAATCCAAAAACAGGACAACACTCCTCTAGAAAGATCCAAACTGAGCATCTAACACTCGAGAAGTTCTGCTTTCACAGAGAGTAACTCTATGAGCTAAACCAGCTGCAGAGACAGAGAACTTGGCCATCTGTCCTCACGGTGATGATGATGATGATGAAGGTCAGAGGACACATTTACTGACTCCTTTCAGCTTCAACCTGGAGCTTTTGTGTCTGTCAACCGTCTCACTCCAAACGCTGGAATGAATAATATTCAGACGCTTCCGCTGAATCCTGAAGCTCCTGGGATCCTCCATGATCCCAAAACAAACCTCCTCATTTGAGGATACAGCATGACGCTCCGTAACTCTTGTAGACGGTGGCGCGTGAGTTCTGCTCACAGCAGTGCCGACAGGAGTCTCTATCTCCGATCTGAGCTCAGATCCTGTTGCAGGACTGGCAGACGCTCAAGCGGAGATCTTCACTCCACAGCTCATCATTACAGAGCAGGACGAGGCTCTTTCATGTGGACGCACGCTCAGAGATCTCAAACTACACACACTGAGCGCTTTACAGCCATTCGGGTGAAACGGATACAGAACAGGATTTCACTCCAAATCAAGAGTCGAAATCATTTCAGAACATCAGTCAGCGTGCTGGACGATTCTGTGCAAGAAACATGACGTATCTAAGTGACGATCCAACCATCCATCCATCATCAGAGACATTAAAAATCGTAATTTTTGGTAGTAAGTCCATAACCCATCATAACTAAATCACTGCAGCTGAATGAAACACGGCCTCCATCTGCTGGAGTGACGGGATACAGTCACAAACACTCTTATTCTGGCTCTGACTAATGCATTAAATATAAGAAAAACTAACTCAACAATGTATTAAACGATGTTCCCCTTCTGCTCTGTCCGCGTCACTATGAAGGTCATGGAAAATATCAAATAGTTTTAACATCCAAAATTCACAATTGTGAGAAATAAATTCAAAATTACTTTTTGAATAAAAAAATAAATCAATCCAAAAACAGGACAACACTCCTCTAGAAAGATCCAAACTGAGCATCTAACACTCGAGAAGTTCTGCTTTCACAGAGAGTAACTCTATGAGCTAAACCAGCTGCAGAGACAGAGAACTTGGCCATCTGTCCTCACGGTGATGATGATGATGATGAAGGTCAGAGGACACATTTACTGACTCCTTTCAGCTTCAACCTGGAGCTTTTGTGTCTGTCAACCGTCTCACTCCAAACGCTGGAATGAATAATATTCAGACGCTTCCGCTGAATCCTGAAGCTCCTGGGATCCTCCATGATCCCAAAACAAACCTCCTCATTTGAGGATACAGCATGACGCTCCGTAACTCTTGTAGACGGTGGCGCGTGAGTTCTGCTCACAGCAGTGCCGACAGGAGTCTCTATCTCCGATCTGAGCTCAGATCCTGTTGCAGGACTGGCAGACGCTCAAGCGGAGATCTTCACTCCACAGCTCATCATTACAGAGCAGGACGAGGCTCTTTCATGTGGACGCACGCTCAGAGATCTCAAACTACACACACTGAGCGCTTTACAGCCATTCGGGTGAAACGGATACAGAACAGGATTTCACTCCAAATCAAGAGTCGAAATCATTTCAGAACATCAGTCAGCGTGCTGGACGATTCTGTGCAAGAAACATGACGTATCTAAGTGACGATCCAACCATCCATCCATCATCAGAGACATTAAAAATCGTAATTTTTGGTAGTAAGTCCATAACCCATCATAACTAAATCACTGCAGCTGAATGAAACACGGCCTCCATCTGCTGGAGTGACGGGATACAGTCACAAACACTCTTATTCTGGCTCTGACTAATGCATTAAATATAAGAAAAACTAACTCAACAATGTATTAAACGATGTTCCCCTTCTGCTCTGTCCGCGTCACTATGAAGGTCATGGAAAATATCAAATAGTTTTAACATCCAAAATTCACAATTGTGAGAAATAAATTCAAAATTACTTTTTGAATAAAAAAATAAAAACACACACACACACACACACACACACACACACTCGCACGCACGCACGCACACACTCACACACACACACACACACACGCACGCACACACACTCGCACACACACGCACACACACGCACACACGCACACATACTCGCACACACATTCGCACACACACACACTCACTGATTTAGACTAATTAGGATCAGTTTTCTGAAGCTTTATTGCTGCTGTATTAATAGAGAACATTCAATACATGTTGATGATAGTATTTGTTGAGAATATTCATTACATTCTCAGAAATGACATGGAATTTTCAATGAAACATTTCAAATAATATTTTGAAGGAAGATGATGATCTTGTGGAGATGTTACAGCATTAAAAAAAACTATCAGCAGACACTGAGATAAGGCTTTTATCCAAACAAACATTTAATCTGTTCATTCAGTTGCAGGGAATCGAACCCGTGACCCTGTGGTTGCAAGCATCTGCTCCACTGCTTTACATGGAACAGAAACTGTTCAAGAAATTATCTAATGTGTGTAAGAACCCATTTAAGAATGAGTTACTTCAAAGTTAATGGGAGAAATTAATTTCTATGAAAGTCTATAAGCTTATAACGTACATCACAGAGCAGAGCTGGACTCACATCACATCCACTCGCTAATGAACCTATTAGAAAAGATGGAAAAATGATCTGATTCAGCAGAAATATATTAAAGCCAAAAAACATCAAAGAACAGAAGATGATATGAAACTATAAAATATTCTCTTGATAAACAGCTCCTGTACACAATACAGGTGATTATTAGTGAACATCAGACGCTTGTGTTCAGTCCAGGAAAGAATCTCTCATGAGGAGGATCAGTCGTGCGTGCGCACACACACACACTGACACACACATACTTGCACACACACACTGACACACTCACACACACACACTCTCTCACACACACACACACACACACACACACCTCTCTATGTGTCCAGCAGGTGTCTCTGTCTCAGTCGCTGTCTCATGCTGATTGGTTGCTTGTTGAACTTCTGCATGATCTCTTTGATGCGTGACAGGTTGGAGCGGCCAAGCACAATGTCGCACCTGCTGGCACCGATGTCGTATCCCACCGAGCAAACCTTGCTGCTGACGCTGAAGCCCTCGGCGCGGACCGTCACGCGGTACTCCCCGGGGTTCAGCAGACGCCAGTAATCACCGTCAGACGCTGAGAGACGCAACATTCATCAGATTAACCACAAACAATCACACGCATCAATATCTGCTGTGAAATGAAGGAAACTCAAGACTGCCGTCAGTAAATGATTCAACTTTCATCAATTATGAACTGTAAAGCAGCTCGACAGAAGATCGGTTTAGTTCAGTTCTCTTCTCACCCGACAGTGTCAGTGCAGTCAAATCAATAACATTACTGAATATTCCAAACTCCATCAGCTGACAGACATGCTCCTGTCCCATGATGCCATGCGGTGTGTCGTGTTTCACCTGTGCGAATGTCGTGATTGATTCCGTCCACAGCGATGATGGCATTAGCGATTCCTTTGCCCTGAACGTCTCTGACGACACCTTTGATCCCACGATGCACCTGGACACACACAAACACATGTTCGACGGCGGGACTGTCACTCATGTCCTTATGTTGTGAAATACTTTGAAAGCTTTGACATTTGACTGGTCGCCACTAGTTAAAAAGGCTTATAAATCAGCCAGAAGATGTTGCTGATGTGAATCTAGTGTTCTGCACATGTTTGTGTGATGGGTAAGTTTAGAAAGAGCGGTTGGTTAGCTAATAGAAAATCAACGGAAGTCTATGCAATGACCTCACTGAGATTTACATCTACCTTTAATCATTTCAGCAGACGCTTTTATCCAAACCGACTTACAGTTGAGGAATACAACAAGCTTTATCATAAGATGGCAATAAACACAAGAAGTGCCCTTTATACAAGGTTTCAGTGATCGTTCAAAATAGTAAAAGCTGGGACAGGAGGATAATAATAGAATAGAAAAAGTGAAGGCATAGGATTTTTTTTTACATTTTTATGAGGAGGCAGTTAGATGCTCAGGAAAAGATGAGTTCTCAGTTGTTTCTTGAAGATTGTGAGGGATTCGGCTGTCCAGATAGAGTTAGGAAGGTTATTCCACCAACAGGGTGCGGTGAAAGAAAACGTCCTGAAGAGTGCTTTTGTGCCTCTCTGTGATGAGACCACGAGCCGCGCTTGTTTACTGACCGCGGGCTTCTGGAGGGGATGTGACATGTTTTCACTGATCCCAAGAGAGCCCAAGACGTGCTGCTGCTTTCTGAGTCATTTGCAGAGGTTTGATTGCACATGTTGGAAGTCCAGCCAGAAGAGCATTGCAATAGTCCAGCCTAGAAATGACAAGGGCCTGGACGAGAAGCTGTGCTGCGTGCTCTGTTAGGAAGGGTCTGATCTTCCTGATGTTGTGTAGTGTGAACCTGCATGATCGTGCTGTTTTTGTAATATGATCTTTAAAGGTCAGCTGATCATCAAGAATCACCCCAAGATTCCTGGCCAAACTCGATGGGATTCACTAGCAAGGACCACGCCACACTGAAAATGTAGGGAAGTAATCTTTGTTGTATAAATATAGGGATGAATGGGGAAGGGAAGGATGGGAAAAAGGGAAGGGATGATAACAGGTTGGTTTGGCCATCCGATGTTTGCCACACTGCAAATGTAGGGAAGTAATCTTTATTGTATAAACATAGGGATGAATGGGGAAGGGAAGGATGGGAAAAGGGGAAGGGATGATAACAGGTTGATTTGGGCATCCGATGTTGGTGGCCCAGAGAGACTCAGGATGGGGGTATTGTCTCGGTTGTGTGTGGCCGAGCGATTAGGACCCCCCCTAATCAACCTAGAAGGGAAGAGAGGGATGTTGAGGATGGTTAATGGATGAGAAAAGGAGGGAAGGGTGGGTTCGAGAGAACGAGACGAACCATGCTGAAGGGTCGGTTTGATATAAGTACGTTTTGGGAAGTGAGGTGATTGGATGAGGTGGCTGAGTGGGGCGTGGCCCAGCTCCTGAATCTCAGTTAACTAGTTAACTCCCTTTATCATTGATGAGCCCAGTTGGATGGTAAACTGTGAGCGAGTGAGTGTGAGAGTGAGTGAGCGAGTGAGAGTGTGTGAGTGAGTGAGTGAGTGAGTGAGCGAGTGAGAGTATGTGAGAGTGAGTGAGTGAGTGAGTGAGTGCGTGAGTGAGTCTGTGTGAGTGTGTGAGTGAGTGTGTGCGTCTGTGTGAGTGTGTGTGTGCGTGTGTGCGTGTGTGCGTCTGTGAGAGTGTGTGTGTGTGTGTGTGTGTGTGTGTGTGTGTGTGTGAGTGAGTGAGTGAGTGTGTGTGTGTGTGTGTGTTTGATCACCTGCTCCATGAAGACGAGCAGTGACTCGCGGTTGTTCTCCCACTCCTCCGGTAGTTCGGTCTCGTGTGGGAATTTATCGCAGCCCACGAACATGGAGAGCTCGAAGCAGTTAGTGTGCAGGTAACTGAAGTCATTCATACCTGTTAACGAACAGCGAGCGGTTAACGAGACGGATGGATCATCACGATCACAATGATGTGTGCTGATTTTCCTCACTTCCTGCGGCCGTGTGCCACGAGGCTCCGTTGATGGTGCCGTCCTCCTTGGCGAAGTCGTCGGTGTGGCAGACCCTGCGGCTGGCGTGGGTCATGAGCCGGTGAGTGGAGGCGTAGGAGAAGGCCAGCCAGCGGAACACGTGATCGTCAGCGGTGGGCGTGGCCTCACGGAGCGCCGTCACTGAGCGCGTGCGGTCGAACGGGAACGTCACCACCAGCTCTCCTCCCTGCAGGTTCCCTCCCAACACGAACGGGATCTTCTCCATCCACGACACCAGAGCGCGCGTCTCCACCGCCACCTGGGGTCAGGGGTCAGAGGTCAGAGCAGTTTAGAGCAACCTATTAATGGAACATAAGTTGAGTGACTGGTGTGTGATACGCATCACTCTCTACATACATGTATACACACATGAGATTAAACCACTGGTTTGACTACACTGGCACTATCTGATGAGAAGAAAACCTGAACTGAAGAGTTCTGAATAATGACTCTACTGACTTCAGTAGAGCTGCTTTACAGCTGAATCAAATTAGTTTCATAATCATTGAATTTTGCAACATTCACACTGTTATTTTCCCGTTTATTTCTGTGAAGCTGCTTTGAATCACACTGTGTTGTTTGTATAAAGCACTCTAGAAATAAATTGGACTTGACTCTCTTCTCACATCAATGAACTGGCGCCATCTGGTGACTCAAATCTGTCTTACGTTAACAAAAGATTTTTAATCATAGAAATAGATGTGGTGGACAAACATAGATCTCAAACAAATAATCAATCACTTTTCGATTAAAACCTTTGATAACATGATCAATCATCTGTTCAGCAGATGTGTTTGTTCTGATCTCAAGAATGAGACCGACTCCAGATCGCTGTTATTATCTGCAGATGTCAGTCAGATGTTTCTCTTCATCAAAGTGTCTCTGACACGCTTTCATCAGACACATGATCACAGAGATTCCTGGAAACTCGCTCTATGTTCAGCTACACACATTCAGAAACTCCCTGCCCATCATTCCTGCATTACAAACATCCCTGTGTGAACGGGCATCATCATCATCATCATCATCATCACGCGGCTCAGGACTCACGGTGGCGTTTGTGGAGCGGTACCAGTCCGGGATGGGCACGTGGTGGTTGTGGAATTTGCGCGGGACCCATTTCTGGGCTTCTGCGTCCCACAGAACCGAGTTGAGATCAGGGAAGTTGTGATGGATGTCCAGACCGTCCTGACTCCAGCGGCCCAGAGACCAGCCGCTGAGCTCCGAGCCCTGAGAACCCACAACCAGAACCCAGATGAGAGACGCTCTGATGCAGCACTGCGGCCGCTGAAGCATCCGGTTAAAACATATGAACCTGAGGAGGCTTGATTTTAACAAGAGTTGATATAAACATACACTACAATTCAAACGTTTGACACATTTAATTGATCAAAAGTGAAAAAAAATTGTAACGTTACACAAGATTTCTATTTGAAATAAACGCTGATCTTTTAAACGTTCTATTCATCTGTGAATCCTGAAAAATAAAGTGTATCACGGTTTCCACAAAAATATTGTGCAGCTCAACTGTGTTCAACATTGATAATAATCAGAAATGTTTCTTGAGCAGCAAATCAGCATATTATTATGATTTCTGAAGATCATGTGACACTGAAGACTGGAGTAATGATGCTGAAAATACAGCTGCGCATCACAGAAATACATTACAGTTTAACAGATATTCACACAGAAAACTGCTATTTTAAATTATAATAATATTTCAGTTTTTACTGTATTTTAAATCAAATAAACGCATCCTTGGTGAGCAGAAGAGACTTATTTCAAAAACATGAACAAATCCTATCTCAAGCTTCTGAACAGTAATGCATATTAATATTCTCAGGTTAGGGTTTATAGTGACACACCGCTTCGCAGGCCTTCTCGTAGCCGTCGGGGTTGACGGAGGGCAGCAGGTGGATGCGTGTCTCATCCACGAGCCGCCGAATGCGTGTGTTTCTGCTCAGATACTCCTGACACATGAACTGCATCAGCAGCAGCAGCAGCTCCCGGCCCAGAACCTCGTTACCGTGAGAACCAGCCGTGTAGCGGAACTCCGGCTCACCTGTGAACACACACACACACACACACCATCAGAACATCATACACACACACACACACACACACACACACATGATCTTATAACACACACACACACACGATCATATAACACACACACACACGTCAACATCACATCTCACACACACTTCATCATCGCGTCACAGGCGTGTTTTAGTGTGTTGGGCCTGGCGACACGCGTGTTACCGAGCTCATGTTCTCCAGGGTTGTCTGAGATCTCGATGGCGTAGAGTTTCTGTCCGTTGTAGCTCTTGCCGATGTTGTAGATGCGCGTGATGTTCGGACACATTTCATTCACCACCTTCATCAGCTGAAGAACAGAAACACAACAGCAGAAGCACATTTACACCGGCCGATAAAATACACCAAACACGCCACAATTACTGACACACATCGCCTGACAGTGACAAGAGAGATCAGTCGAATGAGGTCAGACTCCATCACTAATCACACGCATGTCAATCATATTAACACACTTCCTCACATTCATGTTGTGTTGAATTAGAGGGAAGATCATGAAGAATCCTTTATCAACTCTCAGACGTTTGGGTATCACTGTATGTTATATTGTGTAATATTTTATTAATGGTCATAAAGATGAGCAGACACACACGGCACCTGTCTCATCTCCTTATAACTGTGGTGTCTGAAGTCCAGGTTGTCTGTTGTGGTCACTTCATTTCGTCTCCGGTAATAATTGTTCGGATCTGTAAGAAGCATTAAAAATAAATGAGAAAGAGTATTTTATTTTGACAGTTTTATGATTTAATTACTTTAGTACTCAGAATCAGATTGAGCACTATTTGCCAAGTGTGCAAACACACAAGGAATTTGTAAGCATTTTATTTTTCAGTTTATTTATTTTTTATTTGCCAATTTTATGATTTAATTCATTTTTAGTAAGTGATTTATTTTGACTGTTTTTATTTTGACATTATTCATTTATTGTAGTTTGACTTTTTAAATTCATCATTAGAAGTTCATCAACCCTGTAAGATCACAGTGTGTGTGTGTGTGTGTGTGTGTGTGTGTGTGTGAGGAACTGTGTGATGTTCTGATGGTGTGTGTG